GGGAAGTGAGTGCGGCGGTGGCCTTGGGCCCGGGTCCCTCCCGCTCTCCCTGTCGTGGCCCAGCTCTAGTCCCGGGGCCCGCCCTCCGCCCCGGCCCGGCCCCCAGCCTGTTTTGCACTCTCTCCTGCCAGGACCCCGTCTATTCCGAAGACGTCCGGGAGAGCTTTTCTTTTTAAAATAATGATAATGATAATAATGATGATGATAATAATAATAATAATTATTATTATTATTTTGGTTTGCCTTCGGCCTCCTCAGAAAGCATTTTTGCATCGCTGGCCAAACCCCACCTTGACCTTGACCTTTAAACGTCGGGTCCGCCCACCGCGGCCCCGGCTGGTAGCTTTTCCGCTCCTCGGACTCCCGTCAAAGGTGGCGGTCGGCTCTGGCCCCCCACAGAACCGTAGAGGCTGCTCTGCTGCTTCATTCAGCAGCGGCCGCTCGCTCGCTCTCTCTGCCCTCTCCTCGGTGACCTCGATTCAGCCCTGGCACACCGCCCATCCCCTGCCCCTCAGCTTCCCGCGCCGGAAGGCCGCGTGGGTTGCAGTTGGTAGCTGTCAGGATTTATTTGCTGTGCCTCTTTGGGCCCCTCTGTCCTTTCTTTTCTGTTCCAAATCATTCTCTTACTCCCCCAGCCCAGATGCCCACGTTTATAGTTAACTTTTTAACAACATCCGAAACTTTTCCTTTTTGCCAGACACAAACGAATTTGGCCGTCCCATTCCGATCTGAATGTGAACCTCCCCGTAGAACAAAGAAAACTTCGTCTAACAATTTCATGTTTCCGTTTATACTTTTTTTTTTAAAGTTACATTTTATGGTCCATTTGGATTTATCAAAATTCCGAGTCTGATCATGACATTTCTAGCTTGCCCCAAAAGTACTCTGGAAACTCACTACACTTGTATCTCTTCAAAATCTTTAAAGCACAGCATTTTGCCTTTTTCCCTGGGACCTGTCAGCTTCGCCTCATCCCTATAGACTTGCTTTCTCCGAGTCCTTGCTAAATTGTGAGCTCCTGTGGAGCAGAAACTGATTTATGCTAAGTTTTGTTTTCCCTCAGCCACTTTGCCCAAGCCAGGGTTGTGGATGTTTGGCTTAAAGCAGGCTACTGATTTTGTCAGACTTCATCTTGTTACTTTGTTCTCCATCTTATTTTTTGAATCCTTGAGTTTTTCTCTATTTTCTCCATCTGTTCCTTTTGCCTGTTTTGTTTAAACTGATGTCATTTATAAACTTTCTTTTGGAACTTGTCTCTGTGAATTTGGTTATCTAAAGTAATGCTGTATTGGTCTGAGCTATAATGTTCTCCCCAGTTTTTTCCCGCTGGGGCTGCAAGAAGGTATTATGTAACTGGGTCTGGCTCTGCCTGCAGTATGTGGAAAGAGTGGTCTATAGTGGTGGTCATGGGGCACGAGAATTGTTAGCTGGACCAATGCTGAGTGAGTGGAGTCAGTATTATTCATTTCCAGGTATGGCCACTTCCATTAGCTTGGAGGAGAGAGTAACGTATAAAGTTGAGGTGGGGATAGAGGTTCTGGAAGTAGAAGTAATTTGAAGCTGACTTTCTTGAAATGTTTAGTGCTGTGCACAGATTAGAACCTCTCCCTGGAACCTGAGAATGGCGATGTATATCCTTGTTAAGAGGAAGTGACGGTTGTAATAGCATTTCTTCACACTTTGTCTCCAAATGTGGCATAATTTACACTTGTTGATAGGAATAACTGACTTGAAGTCTTTGTTAAAAGTAAAATGTTAATGTTATGACATAGTGGAGTTCATTCGTGTAACACTTTTACATAATTACAAACTTAAAGGAAAGTTACAGCACTGTTCCAATAATTGGTAACATTTTGCCCCTTTTGCTTTATCATTCTCTACCTAAGTGTTTATATGTATGCTTTTTTTCTTTCCCCCTGAACCATTAGAGAGTAAACTGGAGGTATCCAGCCCCTTTATCCCTAAACACTTCAACATGGATTTCCTAAGCACAAGGGCATTTTCTTACATAACCAGAGCATAGTTATCCAAATTAGGGAATTTAGCATTATTTTCTTTTATCGATTAATGGTGACCTTGTTTCATTGTGATCTTTGGTAAGAGAGTGGCCTGATAGTTAGGAAACCTGGGTTCTAGTTTGGCCTTGTGACCAGGTACGTGACATTGGTCAGATCACTTCTCTGGCCTTTAGGAGTCCTTGATCCTAAGTGGTAACGTGAAGGAAAAAATTGCCACTTGTGTAGGTCACTAACTTTGGAAGAAAAGTAATGTTTCCTTGAAAGGCATAGTATCTTTGTTAGTTGGTACTAATGTTAGAATTTGGGAGTTTGAAATGGCTAAAACAAGATTCTTCGTGCTTAGTATTTTCCATGTTTACTGTTCATTTAAACTTTCTTTATAATGGAGTTTATCCACTGTGTGATTTTTCAATTTGAAAGAATACATATGAAGGGTATTACTGTGGTAGGTGATGCAGATTATTCAAATAGAAGACTTTAATATTGTTTATTTGTACCTGATCACCAGAATCATAGTTTGTGCAGAGAAGCTTACCACAATATTTGTTAAAAAAAAAAGCTTGGGCTTTTTAAGATCCTCTGAAATGGATGCATTAGGATCTTGCTTTCAAACTAGGAGATAATATGTGGTAAAAGATTTTTGTTATTAAGAACAAAACTTCAGGTTCATATTATTGATAAATTTGAGACAGATAGGCCATATATAAGTGGAACTGGAATTTTTCCATAGATTATACCCTTTAAAATTGATTCTCCAGGCTCTGTTCTTCACTATTGTAGACAGACTGAAATACTAGGATGAGTAAGCTTCTCTTCTTTCTACTAGAGAAGCAAAGTCAACTCTTTATTTTTTATTTTTTTGAGAGCAAGCACATGTGTACATGCTCACTTGCACGCTCACTCACTCACTCACTGGTTACCACATGGCAGAGCCCAGGATAGTGAACTCGACAAGGTAGTCTTTGAGCTGATTTTTTTATTTACCCAATCTTTCAGTAAAGGTGAGAATATGGAAAAAAAGTAAGTGCATTTGGAGTGAGAAGTCTTGTTTGTAAACAAGTTTAGTTTAGGGAAACCTTTGACGTCACTGACATTAACGAAAATTGAAAGTGCAAATGATTGACTTTTTGAAGCTGCGTGAGTCACCTGATTGTTTAGGTTCCAAGAGGATTTTACATTGAGAAGGTGAACTTCTTTTTCATAAATTCTTGGTAATCATTGGTATAGGATTTATGAAATCCTCCTACACCTAAATGTAGGTATTATGAAGGTTTTGGTTAAATATTTTGCTGAGATCAGTTTTCTTCAGAAGTCCTATAGAAGAAACATTTAAAGAGCTTCAACAAATGGACTGCTGATCTCTAGCTTAGAAATATGTGATTTTACATTGAAGTAAAAAGAAAATAACTAATGATTGATTTTGCTAGGGAGGGTTAGATTTGCCTTCTAAAAGGCTCAGTAAGTGCTTTGGACCTATAAGACAGAGGGGATGGAAATAATAGTTTATGTGAGGAAAGGCAAACAGTTCTGCATCTGGTTTCAGTTTTGATAAATCATTTCTTTTTTTTTTAAATCATTTATTGAAGAAAGAGCTTCTTTCTAAGTGAATGGCTTAAGAAAAGTTCTGGCTTCATTGATCTGACATATTCCTATTTTCCTTTTTCTTGTAAATTATGATTTGTGTTGTTTTGGGTGTCTTTCCTACTAAATAGGTGTACCTTTTCTCAAAGCTTACTTTTGAACATTGTAATAAAGACTGAATTGAGCCCTCAGATTGACTTCCACTTCCTAACTTTGGCATTCGATATACGGAGGTAAAAGGCTATTGCACTTAATTGATTCTGTTTGTTTCCTCCCTTTTGGAAGAAATTCTGTTTGTTTCCAGTATTAGAACTTACTGCAGATCTTCACCCTTCCCATGTCATTCAAGTGCTTCTCTTTATGTGAAGATCCTAGATTTTGGTGATGGAGAATTTTGATGGTTTTCTTTCTCTGTCCATTTCCTTGTTAGACCAAAGAGAACCCTGTACAGTAAGAAATATGGCGTGGACCTCATCAGATACACTCATGCAGCAAACACAGTCGTTTACAGCTCTAACAAAATAGACGGTAAGCAAGCCTTCTTTTTAGGAAGTTTGGTTATGGTTCAATAGTTCATAGAATCTTTGATTAATTCTGCTTTGGTTATATAGTTACTTTAAATTTTTGTATGTTGTTAACTATACTAACATTGTTATGACTTATGAGATACTGGAAGCAAGGGATTAGTACTTTTGAAGGACTTGAAACTGAGTATGAAAGGTCTCCAGTTTAGAGTGGAGAGTGGAAATAGGGAGCAACCAGTTGTATTTACAGTTTGTACTTTTGGAAACTTGAAAGAACTTTAGAAGAAGTGAAAGGACACTTGACACACAGCAAGTGGGTAAACAATCCTACCTTCCCATTCAAAATATATAGATTTGAGAAAAGTTTCACAAAATGCTTCAGTTTACGGGACCTTAGAAAAGTTTTTGGTGTGTGCCCAGCCATTTATGGTCTGTGTCACAAAGGACAGTATACTGACCTCAGTTATCTTGGATTTTAGAGACTTTTTTTTTATCTGAATTTTATCCCTTTTTCCTTTTAAATAAAGGTAATGTCTTTGAAGAGTAAAGAGTATTTTTAGAAATTAAACTTGTGAATTTCTTTCTCTATTGAAGGATCTCTTTTTACCTGCATTCCCCTGGGATAAGTCATCCTCAGTTGCCAGTGGTAATTGAGCTATAACACTTTCATGTTGGGACTCTCTTTTTCTTTTTTTATTGATTTATTGGGTTTTTTTTTTTTTTTCACTTTTTGCAGTGAGATTTTTCTAATATCATTCAGCAAAGATTACTTCGACTACTATTTTGGCTATGCCTATCTCAGAGCAGATGGGTAGAAGTCTTTTTTTTTCTTTCCTTATGAGACTTTTGTGCCTATACTTGATTTTTAGTAAGTATATCATTCTACTTTTCATGCCTCTATTTCAGAAGTGGTTTTCTAAGTACGCAGTGCAATTGATGCTTTTGGACAAGAATATAAAACATTAGGATCTTGAAACATATCTCTGTGATCATCTGAATGACTGGTATATTTCTTCTGTTGGAGTGTTTTTCTGGGTGATTAAATGGGGATTCTCCAAATATGGTGCAAGATGAGGCAAATGTGTGGCACTTGCAGCTTTGCTGCCAGGCCTCTGCTGTGAGGATGTTGCCTTTCCTGTCCTGAGTGCATCCTGAAGAGTTCCTCCAACGCTCCGTATCCTTTTGCCTGATTCCAGGCTGAGGTAGTAGTTTGTACAGTTTGAGGGTCTATGATACCACCCGGTACAGGAGATAACTGTACAGGCCACTGCCTTGCCAGGAACAGCGCACCAGCTACCAAGTAGGGCGGAGAGGATGGCGACACCCTGCTCATCTCTGGGAAACCAGGTAATGGGAAATCTTTTTCTGCATAGGGCAGGTAAGTAGTTCCCAGCAATAGAACAACCAGGAAGGCTTTGTCATTGTCATTTGAGAACTTTGAAGATGTTATCAAGGAAAACCATGTTCAGTTGTTAAAAAACCAGAGTGCCGTTTTCCCTCTCTCAGGTTAAATGCCCTGTTACTAGTACCTTTGTTAACCACTGGAATGACCTGGTGCTTTTGGCCTCTTTGTTCTTGTGTTCTATTTGCCTCCAGAATGTTTTCTCTACCTTTTTTTTTTCTTCTGTATTTTGGCACCATTTCCTGTTACCCCTTTCTCAACAACTGTTCCTTGTTCCTAGTCTTCTCAGGGGCATAATACTTTCCAGTTCTGTTCTCTATGGCACTTCATTCCCTTTCCACCACCATCATTTTTTTGTTTTACTTTTTCAGAAGGAATCATTTGGTTTTAAGAGTGTTTGTCTTATTTGCCCCAAGCACAAATCTCTGTGATTATTTTTTTTCCTTGATGTTGTCAAAATCTTACTGCTATGACTTGGTATAGTTCATGATTTTGCTTTTTAAATGTCTTAAAATCTTTTTAACCCCAATTTCCTCACTTCTTCTTTTGGCCACTTTATTATTACTATTTTAACTTCTCTACATAAGGGACCAGTGGATAGTTGGTTAATTAGAAAAGAAGTAGTAGAACATTACTTCTCTTTCCATTTTGTTTAGTTTTAATGTAAATTGTATATCCAGTTTACATTCAGATGAGGTGAGTGTTGACATGCTGTTGGAAAACCCTGGCCAAAAATATTATGCCAGAGTCAAGCTTGATGCTCAGCTTAGCATGGCTGCTTCATTCTTTGAGCCTGTTTCCTCAGCAGCTGTATGTTTTTCTTTAAGGCTTGCCATTCTGTGGGCACTAAAACTATTTGGAGTTTTTTTGCAGGGCGAGTGGTAGGGCAGGGCATATTTGCAAGACAGGTTTTATTGTAACTGCAGAAGCCAAAGATTGGTAGCAACAAAGATTTTAAACATTGCTCTATATGCTGTCTTAAGAACTCTGCTTTTGAATTACATGAAATCTCTAGTGCTGTGGAGAGGAGTTATTCACCGTTATTTATTCATACCTTACTTGGGTTGTGGAAAATTATGAATTCTTTGACTTTGTCTTTTCGAGATGAAAATGCAAATTAAATTCCTTTAAAAATAGTAGGATATCATTATACTTTGTCTTCTTACAGATACTATTCGTTACCTGTCCTTGCATGACAACAAATACATCAGATACTTTCCTGGACATAGCAAAAGGTAAGAATGAAGTGTTATAGAAGCAGATAGTTCTTTTATACCTGAGGTTATCCAGAGAATGAATAGGTGGAGAGGTTTTATTAGTGAACTGAAGTTAGTTTCTCGCCACTGTTTGACATACCTCTTAATCTTCTCTCGTTAACCCTCCTTAAACATTCAACTCTTGATTAATTGAGGTTGTGGAGGCCAGGTTAGGACTTCATCGATAAACCAAAATCTCAGTTAAAATATTATTAGGAAAAATGAGGATTAAAGATAATCAGTGGAAATCTATGTAGTAAAAATTACATTTTGCATTTAGGAATCCTGGATATCAGACATTCTTTAATGGACTTAATGTATGAGGCCTTCCAGTATAGGTGGCCCCCATTTCAGCAGGCCCCTGCTCTACGTAAACATGTTCCCATGAAGATCTTAATGAGCATGAAAAAAAATTAGTAAATAAAATTTGTCCTGTGTAACTTTTGAAAGTCAAGAAGCTTGTTTCCTCATTCTATTTTGTAAGACAGGTTGCTTCTCTGTCTCTTAAAATTCTCCTGGTATTTTTTCTCCAATTTTTTAAGTTTGAGTTGAATGTTAAACTCATTTTCTCTTGGATGATATTTTAATCACTGGTGCTTTCCTTTGCAAATGTACGGTAACCCAGTACGGCTTGGAGTGATTCAGATCCTTGACAGGAGGTGGGCTGAAAGCACCGTTTTCAGCTGCACTTCTGATTAGGCAGGGCATTTCTATGTTGCTGAAGATAAGATGTGGCAGCTGTTGGTTTCTGTGCAGTTCCAGAGGAAAAATGGCTTGGGACAGATGTTTTTGCTTGTTTATAGTTAAAAGTGATGTTCACAGATATACTGTATGTAATTAAGAGTTGATTGCAGTTGTTTGAAATCTTTCCAATTGTCCTAGTTGCCCAATCTCTTGACTTCCTGATCTTGGTAGATGACTTTGTCCCTCCTTTTTTGAGAAAATGAAGGCCATCCAAAATGAATTCTTCTCAACTGTCTCTTCTACCTAAATTCCTCTCTTCCTTAGAATCCCTTCCTTGAGAAAGAAGTAGCCTTTTCTTCCTTGAGAAAACCAACCTCCCTCTTTTTACTTGATTCCGTCTTCTTACTGGACTTTGCTGCCTACAGACTTACTCAGTCTTTCTTATCTTAAATTTATTTCTTGAGCATATCCACCCACTTCTTTTTACCATCAAACAAGAATAATCTGCATATCCCCATCTTCAGTTCCTCATACTCATTCACGGTTTAACTCAGTCATTTATGGTCTAAGCCCTTTACTCCCCTTTCCCTGCTGCCTCCAGGTAAAATCCACTGCCTATGGCTTTTCTTTTGGTGCTCAGCTTCTCAGTAAAACTTTTTTTTCCCCTTTGGCAGCTGACTTTCCATCTTGGTTCTGCTCTTGCTATTCTTGGCCTGTCTTTTTTCTTTTGTGACTCTAAAATAAAATAAACCAGGTTCTACCGTAGCTTTTGTTTCTTCTTGGTATTTTTTTCAAGTATCTCCATCACTGATTTCATTCACCTCTGCTCAGATGGCTTCCCAAATCAGTATTTTCAGCCCATGATTTCCAGACTCAGCTTTCATCTGCAGGTTTTATACACATCTGTGCAGATGTCTCTTCCATGCCCCCACCTGACATATCCGACACTCCACCTATCACTGTTATGTTACTTGGGCCAGCTTCTCTGTCTGCCTTGTATTTCTTCATCTATGCCCCTTCCAATTCTCTCAACTCAAAGCCTTTGTTGTCTGTTCTTGTCTTTTCCCCTGCCTTCACATCTAGTGAGTTGTTAAATCCTATTGATTCTACCTAGGGTTTAACCTCATGTGTCACTGTCCTCCTTTGTTTCTGTCCTAGCTCATGTCCTGTCAGGTAGATTGTTGTCAAATCTTAATCTCACCATCCCTCCCTATCCTGCTTCCACACCCTATTTTACAGTTCTGACCACTTCATAGCCTTCCTCAAGAAGTCTTAATGGTTCTATGCACCTGCCTGCTCCTTCCCCTTGGAGTCAGATTCTCCTCCCTCTGTCTCTGAGCCATTTTCCCAGTGTTACCTCCCACCACTCCACTTGAGGTGAACTCTGGGCTGCTTCCTGAACATCAACCTCATGCCTTCCTATCTGGCACTTCTGGAAAGGCATCTTACATTGAAATCCTATTTACCACAGGTGCTGCTGCTTTTGGAAAGCCTTCTCTGACCCTCTCTGGAGTTGTCTGGACTAAACAGTTAAGCTTCCTTGGAGTCGAAGTCTTGCTCTTCCTTGTATTTTCTGTACCTCTCATCAGAGAGCCTTGTGCAAGATAGACTTCCTCTAAGCTTTTGACCTGAATGCTGTGGTGTAAAAATTAACATGCTCATGTGCATTCTGCTCACACTATTTTATTACCACCTCAGCATTCCCAGGAAATTTTGTCTTATATTATCTTTTAAATTTTTAAGTTGAGGAGCTAGTGCAAATGTTAGTTTACTTATAATGGAAGAATTTTTTTTTTGGTCAAAAATTTTATTTTTAAGGAGAAAAGTACATTTTCTCATTTTCTATTCATGGCATAAATTTTAATTCTCTCTAGTAGAGCCAAAACCTCTTGAACCCCTTTCAGTGTCATCTAAAACTTGAACTTTCTCTGTTTCTACATTAAAAAAAATCCATTCACAAATGACCTGTGCCATTTGATCACCTTTTTGACTTCAAACTTTTCTTCATCAAAATTAAACAGTACATCACCAACATTTCCTCTATAATTGTTGCCTATGACACTACTCCTGTATCTATGAAGTGTTTTGGCAACCAAGCAGAAGGTGGAACTACTATTCCACAATTCCCAGAAGGAAGAACCATCTGAGTGTTCATTTTCACAAGGGCTTCCGTTATAGGTGATTGTGTAGAGCCATAGGCACTGTACAGGTCCCCCCTGGTCAGGGCCAGGGCTTACTCTAAGAAGCAGGTAAAGTGGAGTCACATGCCATCCTCCACAGTTTTCTTTCAGTTTCTGGATTCAGTTGGATTCAGCTGGGACCAAAATGCTGGGGAGATGGCGGGTATCTTCATTGCAGGACATAGCAGAGCAAGAACATGAGCAGAGGGTACAAGAAAGCTCAAGATTAGCCCTTGGGAAGAAATGTTTTTCAGTGAGTGACTCTTAATGGTATAACCATAAAAGGGATCCATATCAGAAATACAATTGCTGGGGGAAGGTATAGCTCAAGTGGTAGAGTGCATGCTTAACATACACAAGGGCCTGGATTTAATCCCCAGTACCTCCTCTAAAAAAGTAATAAAAATAAGTAAGTAAACCTAATTACCTTCCCCAACCCAAAGTAAAGAGAGAGGGAGAACCACTGTCTAATTCCAGAACATTTTCATCAAACCCTGTACCCATTAACACTCCCCACTTCCCCTCTTCCCAGTCCCTGGCAACCACTAATCTACTTGCTGTCTCTGTAGCTTTGCCTGTTCTGGATATTTTGCATAAATGGAATCAGACCATTTGTGGTCTTTTGTATCTGACTTTTCACTTCATACATATTGTAATGTGAATCAATACTTCATTTCTTTTTATTGTCAAATAATATTCCGATTTGGTGATAACACATTTTGTCTATCCATTCATTAGGTGATGGACATTTGGGTTGTTTCTCCTTTTTGGCAATTATGAATAATACTTTTGTGAACATACGTGTATGTTTCTGTATGGACATATATTTTCATTTTTCTTGGGTATATACCTAGGAGTGGAATGTTTGGGTCATATAGTAACACTGACTTTTCGAGGAAATATAAAACTTTTACCATTTTACATTTCTACTATCAGTGGACGGTTCTAATTTCTCCACATCCTCACCAACACTTAATCTTTCTTTTTGATTATAGCTTTGCTAGTGGGTATGAAGTGGTATCTCATTATGATCTGATTTGCATTAGAATCATACATTTGTATGCTGTAGTTTTAAGTTGCTTTTTTCATTATACTAATTGCCTTTGGTTGTTCCAGATTGCTTGTGTTACGTGTGTTTCTTAAAATGGCATTTTTAGGAGAACAGATATATATAAGTAGGCAGGTAAAGTGGGTTAGAGTTCACATTCAATTTTTGCAAATATTTTACTTCATCTCCTATTTATCTTGGTGCATTGCAGGGTGGTGGCTTTGTCCATGTCACCTGTGGATGACACTTTCATTTCTGGGTCTCTTGATAAAACCATTCGACTCTGGGATCTCCGATCTCCTAACTGCCAGGTAATGCTACCTCACAGTTACACTTTAAGTGTTTTCTATGGTAGGCACTATCATCAACTTTCCCTTTCAAGGAAAGGGAAAGCAGTGGTTCTGCATTCTGGGATCCTAGATTCTTTTTAAATTTTGAAGAAAATCTGCTTTCCTGGTAGATAGCTGGTAGTTAAGCTAAATCTTAATCCAGCGCATATTCGTTATGATCTGTGGCTTACTGCTTTAAAAATAATTTTCCTGGAGCCTTTGAGCTATAGGTTTTAGACTCCAAGGATTTATTTTTATTTGAATTCAGTGTCTGTAAAATTATATAGTTAGGGTTGATCTGAAATCAGTTGTATGGAGACCTGTTTTTAGAAAACTTTATTTTAGTTAGTTTTATGTTCCCTTTTTCCATTTTGTAGGTAGGATGGTATCTTTTTGTGTCCTTTTCTTAGGTTTCATTGGGAAAAGTAAATTATATAGTGGTAGGATCCAGGGTTCATTAACTTTGATTTCTTTTTTCTTAGGGTCTCATGCATCTACAGGGCAAGCCGGTTTGTTCTTTTGATCCAGAAGGATTAATTTTTGCTGCAGGTGTCAACTCTGAAATGGTCAAACTTTATGATCTTCGCTCTTTTGATAAGGTGAATTTTTGAATCTTTGAACTGTCTTGATATTATGGAAGTTTTGAAGGGTGAGATGGACATTTAAGAGCCTTTTCTAGAGTATTCAGGCACTTATGGCCATTTCAGCCACTTTCTAGATGCTAGAAATTTCAAGCCAGAAGTTTCTTCGGGGTTTGGTGTATCTCATTGGGAACCTTATGGGTTTGGCATTGGCTGTTTATAAGTGCCAGTTAGTAGGACTGGTGCCTACACATGCATCAGATTAGTTAGCCTTCATTGAGCACCCTGCGAGGATGGAGTTCAATGGTAGATTCCTTGTGTGAACTTGAGAAAGCAGCACAAGGTGCCTATGTATTTGGATCTCATTTATAACCTGTATGCCTAGTGGCTCCTCCTCAGCATACTAACCCTTAACATTATCACTCGCTGAAAAAAACCAAAAGCTCTCTTTTCTCCGTGGTGAGGAGACAGATAGATCCTAAAAAGACAATGTACATATCACCACAAACACAGAGAAATTATACAACCCTTGACTGAAAGTCATGTTAGAAAACTTTTTTATGTTTCCAGTATAGAGCAAAACAACAAATAAAACCATAACTATATAAACAACAACAACAGAAAGCCTTTTCTAGCATAGAGGAGTGTGTGGTAGATATAGAGGGTGTTAGAGCAGTACTTCATCCTCTGCTTTCCATGGTCAAAAAGGAACCTAAAGGGAGAGAATGAGATTTGGCTCTAGCAGAAGGAATTATTGATGTACCTTGGGCCTTGGGCTGCTGTTTTATCTTTTACAGGGTCCGTTTGCAACTTTTAAGATGCAATACGATCGGACTTGTGAATGGACAGGACTTAAGTTCAGCAATGATGGTAAACTCATCCTCATTTCCACCAATGGCAGCTTCATTCGTCTCATCGATGCATTCAAGGGAGTGGTGATGCATACATTTGGGGTGAGCTGACAGCTTTGGAGCATGGTTTTTTCCCATGCTCATACCTTCTGGGCTGAGAATTGTGTTAGCAAATTGATGGAGACTGGCAGTTGTCCTTGGCTCACTGATCAAGGCATGAACTTATATTTTCTTCTTGCATATGATTTTATTTCTTGTGGATTCTGAGACATAACTTCTCACTCAGTGACCCAAGTTTAGTGTTGAGATATTAAATAATTCCTGACCATAAACATTTTCTTGCCTCCTTAACTATGGAGCTGGGGATAAAGGGTGAATTGTAAAGGATGGTAGCTGAGTTTGGAACCTTGTTGGCACTATGCATGAAGAGAGGGTTTCACAGAAAGGGAGGTGATGTGTATGCTGGGTCAGTATTTGTAGGCAGTTACTTTTTGTTAATAGCAATATAATGAGAATTACTGTTCTGCTTTTTTTTTTTCTTTTTAGGGTTATGCCAACAGTAAAGCTGTCACACTGGAGGCCTCGTTTACTCCAGACTCCCAGTTCATTATGATTGGTAAGCTTCCTTTATCACCTTTGGGGGTTACTCTGGTACTGTGTATTATATAATTTTTGTTAGTTTTAACTAATTAAGATATTATTTATTCTCCTTTTGATAGATACTCTCAGATTTTTGTGGAGCCATTATGTCAAGGGTATAGTGTCTTTAAACTGTCTTTACTGGGAAGTGGCATTAGTGTTGTTCTTCCCTGGACCAACATAGAGTTAAACTCTACAAGCACTATCTTACTAACTTCCTGATGTAACTTGGATTCAGTCATCTTAGTGTAGATGTTGGTAGTGTGATGGTATTCAGTCCCCCTTTTAAATGAGAAAACTGAAGTTAGAGGGGAAGTGACTTGCCCAGGAACAAGTAGCTAGGGTCAGAATCAATTCCCGAGGTGTCTTTTCTTCACTGCCTTTCCTACCTCTCAACCTGCTGAGGGCTGGGTCCTGAAGCTTGGCCTCTCTCCAAATATTAATCCATGTCTCTTTCCCACTTGTCTTTGTATTATGCCTTGAGCTGTTGTTATATTCCTTGATCATTCTTTTTTTTTTAAATGTATTTATTTTAATGGAGGTACTGGGGATTGAACCTAGGACCTCGTGCATGCTAGGCATGGACCTTACCCCTGAACTATACCCACCCCACCTTGATCATTCTTTTCAGGTTCAGAAGATGGCAAGATCCATGTCTGGAATGGAGAGAGCGGGATAAAAGTAGCTGTGTTGGATGGCAAACACACAGGCCCCATTACCTGTTTGCAGTTCAACCCCAAGTTTATGACCTTTGCCAGCGCATGTTCCAACATGGTATGTGAACAGTGGGAGATGTCCTCCACCTGGGGCCCCTTTCCAGTTGAGGTGGTGAGTGGTTCAGTGAGCACAGCAAGCTGTGTTCTAAATAGGTACAATTACAAGCACCCAAGTTCATGTTTCTCAGCTGGTGACTTCCCTGTTTCACCTCTATCTGATCTCTGGTCGCGCTGGTCTTTTCACTTTTGCTTTTCTTTCCATGATCTGGGATCACCTCTGAGCTCCCGGGAGATCTTAGGCCAGTTTTTGCTCTGGTTCCTGGTTTTATGCCCAAATTACCTGGGGATGTGCCTCACAGCTTTTTGGCTTCTTGAAATACTTTGAACCAGCCTTTTGTGGCTGCAACCTTTCAGTTTTCCCTTCTTAGTTTATGCCGAGTTCATCAGAAATTCTTATAGTGGATTACAACTTACCACTTAGAATTTCCTCCAGGCCTCTGTGTCTTCCTAGACAACATTAGCAGAACAAAGTATCAGTGAGTCTTAGCCTCCAGTTTCCTTTTGGCATCTCCTAAGAGCCTACCTGAGTATTTAGGTATGAGGCATTTCATTACTAGCCTACCTGGAACACATTGCCTCCATCTCTCTCTGTCTCTCTCTTTTTTTAACTAAGAAAACGGTGTCTGAAAAAAATGTGGCAAAATAGTCCAATCCAGTTCCTCTCATTTTTCACAGCTCAGGAATGAGAGGGCCTGTCTGAGGTCACTTGGTGGATCAGCAGTGAGGCCAGGTTACCCAGACATCCACCTCCTATTCTTCTATTTTTCCTTACCACTGAACTACTGTGGTGGAAGGTAGACGGTATTGGAGGGAAACAGAACCAGCTTGTTTTCACGTAAATGAGAGATTGTTTCTCCACAGACTGCATAGACTCCATAGACAGTCAGTTGGTCAGGAGGGAGGGCCACCAGCCATAACTCCTCCACCTTTGGGGTTGGGAACCTTGACAGTGTGGGAAGGGCTAAGAAAAACCCTCAGCAGTGAAGAGAGAGACTTGGCTTTTTAAAGTTGACTTACGTTCTCCTTCCATCCAGGCCTTCTGGTTGCCCACCATTGATGACTGACCCTCATGCTGCTCAGCTGTTTTCTGTACAGTGAGGGTGGACAGCAGGAAAAAACTTAAGAGAGGACTACGATAATAGTGGGATTGAATCATTTGACTGGGCTGGAGAACATCCTTCCACATGGCCTTCCTAAGGATGTGCTGTACATCTGCTCAAAAGAAAACAAATTGCTTTGCTGAGCTTCTTCAAAAGGACTCTTGGTGTGGCAGATTCAATTGGGACTTGGATTTTCCAGCTGTCACTGCACTGAGCTCCTCCGGAGGAGTGACCAGACTCATGATTAGGGTATGGTGGGGCCCACAAGATGCCTCCAATTTTGAATGTATTTGCTGATGAGGAGTCGGTAAAGTTGTCAATTCGCACATCCCTTCTCCCACCCCCGTAAATGCATGGGAAGCCGCAGTTCTGGTTGCTAGATGCTAGGGCAGCTCAGTGCCCCTTGTCCTCACCCTGCATGTCTTGTTACTGGGTCTCCCTGTGTCGTTGTGGCATTATTCCACAGCCATCATGTTACTTAGGTGCCAAATATTTACAGAAAAAAAGTCTCCATGTATCTTAGGGTCAGAAAGGGACAGGTACAGAAGGACCTTGCTTGCCAGGAAGCCCTGCAAATTAGTCGTGTGAGGGTGGGTGATTTGGGGGTGGGTGATTTGGGTATGCCACAGGCTCTGGGTGTTGGGCGGAAAGAAGGCCAAGAGCCTGAAAGGGAGGGAAAGGAGGGGTAGCAAGTGAGTTCCTAGGGCCGGGAGGTTTAGAAGCAGCCTGGTGTGGTCCCCCATCATCAAAACAAACCTGCGGTCCTTCTGGGTGCCTGCCAAGCTTGGTTGTATACAAAAGTAAGGTGGGCATCTATTTTTGTACATGAGCTACATCGCGCTTTCCTGTGGGCCAGTATTGTGGAGTGAGTCTGAGTTGTTTACACTGATGCCTTCCCTGCCCACCACAAATTGTGTACATAGTCTCCAAATGATACCACCCCTTTCCCAGCTCCCAACTAAGAGCTGGCTCCAGGCCTGTGTTATATGTTCTATTTAGCCTTTTTATATATGACTTGGGATTTCTGTTTGTATTTTAGCACAGTGTGTGTACACCTTCATTTAAATATATCGTGTGTGCATACATATATACGTATATGTATGTATGCATATCTATCTATCTATATATATATATTTAAAAAGTATCAGTTCAGCTGAAGGAGATGGAGTCCTGCGCCCTGGGAGAAAAACTGCATCCTTGCTAATAGTGTTTGCTACAAGTGTTAGTGAGTCTTCCCTATTACCTTTTTCCCTTTGGGAGACTGAACAAAAGCAAAGCTTTCAAGTGTTTGCTGTCCCCATGGCAGCTAAGCGAGGGTCTTGGAATGACTCCCCTGTGTTCTTCAAGCCACACTTTGGGGCATTCTCTGCAGTATTAGCCCCCTTTTTGCCTGGTGATGCTCTGTCTGCGCCTGTCTGTGTGTGACAGTCACTTTTGCATGCCTTTTGTGTCTGATTCCCAGCATTTGGGGACAGGATGCTGGAACCAGAGCATTTTCAGCTTGTCTGAGGCTTCTTTGCCAATTACAGGTCACTCCTGTTTACCTGGTAATGTCTGCTTCCTTGCTTCTTTTCCTTGCCTTCTCTTGGGGGAGGGAGGGTTCCTGATTGGGACTGAGGTGAGCTGTGGCTAGCTCAGAGCCTTTTCTTCCCCTGCATGGCTTCTTAGAGCAGGACAAGTGGCATGTTATCTCACTAAGTTCTCAAACATTTAAGCAAGTAACACATTCCTTGCAGATCCAGAAACAGGCTCAACAAGGTTATGTATGACTTGCCGAAGAGTAGCCACTGGGGAGGAAGCAAAAGCCATTATTGCCTCTGTTCAGCAGCAAGAATAGGCTGTGAATTGCTAGCATTTACCGTTTTGTTTGGCCTTTTTAGCATTTACTTTTTGACTTGTTCCTCAAACTTAAGGGCAAGGGGCATACATCTTCCCCAAACATAGACTGGAGTCTGCAGCTTCTGCAGTGCCACACTGTATAGCTCTGCATTCTCAGTAGAGGGACTTTTAGAAACCAGCTGATTTGAGCTATTACTGTCCACCCCAGCTTTCCAGGGTAGAAAATTCACGGTAGGAATAACTGTTCAGAGAGAGTACCTGGAACTGTGGGTTAACAAGAAAGACTGTCTAATTCACGTATCTGCAACCAGAGCAGCCACCAAGCATGACTTGTCTATTAGCAGGAAAATGTATTGAGTTCCTTTGTGGCCAGAGCTGAGGCACTGTGTCCTTTGAAAATATATACTGCACAGCTTCTATTTATGGGGACCTGTGGCTGCAGAGCTAGCTCCTGAGATGGAAGAAAAGGGAAAGACGCAGCTGGACGTGATTGAAGATGATGTGGGAATAAGGTAGAATTAAGGGAAAAAAGAGTGTGGGTCAGAGAGGCTGAGGAGGACTGGGCTGCAAGGACACTCAGTGGGAGCCAGAGGTGCTTAAGCTCTCCTGGGAGTGGGGGGCATAGCACGCTCTCAAGAGTCAGGGCCAAAGCCACTGATTAATATATGACAGTGACGCTGCACTGCTCAACCACCAGCCAGTGGGATTTTTTTTTAGGAAAAAACTCCCCGTTGCAATCATAATTAATGCTTATTAAGAAAAATCTGAGAATTTTAAAAAGAATCACCCAAATGTTTGCCACCCAAATGTTACCACTGTTAATCTTTTGGTGTTAAATGTTCCTCTAGACATTTCTGTGCATAGATTCTTGGTGTGTTTACATAGTTGTTACTCTACTGTATATACAATTTTATGTCCCTTTTGTACTTAACATATAAACATTTTTTCCATGTTATCTGTCTTAAACAGAATTTTATGGCTGCAACCTCTTCCATTGAGTTTTCATAGCATTGTCTGCCTGGTTCCTAGAGTTGGGGAGGGGGGCTTGTCTCCTGTTAGTCCTCCTGGCTCACATTGGGACTCACTGTAATGCTGTGTGGGCGGGTTGTTGGGCTCCCTGGGACTGCCCCTGGTGACTAACACTTGTGGGCTGGAGAAACCCCCTGACCCAGCTCTCAGTGCATGGCAGCCTGGGTCTTCTCAACCTCAGGCTCTAACAAGCAGCCAGAGGGCCAGAAATGAATGACTGACTGGGAAGGGCCAGCCTGAGCCAACCTTGAGATCCTCAACAACTGCATGTGGCAGGTACCTCAGGCTGCCTTTCATCCCCTCAACCCTTGAGATCAGATTGGCAACCTCCAGCTGGAATGAGGTTTCATCCTGCTAGGTACTGGCTTCTGGGGGACAAGGATAGTGGGGCCTCTTTGAGGCTCCTTCACCAGTTTTGGCAGAAGGCCTGGGCCAGTTGCTTAGTAACCCCATTGCTTGGGTTGGTGAATTGGTAATGCCGTAGTAGCTCAGCATCCTCAGAGCTACACCACCTTGGGCCTGCCACTTTGCCCACGGTCATTGGAGGTTGGCCAAGGGCTCTGGAGGGCAGGAGAGGGAGTGTCCCAGCTTGTGAGTGGTAGGCCATGCAGACTCTCCACAGGACTGCTCAAGGAGGAAGAGATCCCCTTATGGCCTGATGGGAGGGCAACTGTAGCATTTGGCTCTGCTGAGAGACATGAACACGTAAGTCAGTGTGGCTGCCCCTGCAGCAGTTACTCCTGTCGGTTTGCCTTGCTCGCAATTGAGAGACCCACTGTTGCTCACTCCTTGCGCTTCAGCCTTGTATGAGGAGCAAGAGCAGGCTGGGTCAGAAGGAAAGCAGACTGGGCAGGCGAGCTGCCTCAGTAGTTGACGTGGGTGATTGGTTGGCAGGTACAGGATGTTGCCCACGCTTTGCTGGGGAGGCAGGGGGTGGGGACTGCTGAGGAAAGAGGAAGTAAAACTCCAGCAGGCTTGGGCACACACCTGTCTGCCAGCTGCCTAACTAGAGGAGTCCTGGAGAGGCTACATAGTTTGTCAGGACCCAGCTGCGGATAGATGTAGGCCCAGAAGTGCTGGGCTATGGAATATGACTGAAAAATGAGTAATTTTGTAGTTTTTCCTATCTCTTCCCTAGAGAACGAGTAAATGGAGTCTAAAATGAGTTAATGGGCAGGAAGGGAGATCTGAGAGCTTCTCCAGTGCATTAAATATACAAGCTTAACCATTAGTTCTGGGGCCTACTGGCCCTTGTCCCTTTCTGGCTGCAGTCTAGGGCTATGAGTTGTCTGGTAAGGATTAATCTCAATTGTAGACTAAAGTAGAAGTGGATCAGGGAAGAGTTAGGTAAGGCTGAGGCTATGAAATTCAACAAATAATTCAACAAATACCTCCCAAGCATTTGAGCCTTGGCAAGTGCTAGATGATTAAAAAACAGTCTTGTGGGGAAGATGAAGAACTAAGCTTACTCATCAAACAGCAAGCCCTGGAGCCCCACCTGACTTGTCTCCGGTAAGTCTAGCTTTAATATAAATGTACTATAAACTTTATACTAAAATTACTGTAATTTGCATTAAAAAACAAAGGCATCCCATCTGGTATCTCAAGCCCAGAGCTCAAAGATGGTGGTGGAGACCCTTCTGTTCCCTGGGCAACAGTTCTCTCACTGGGGCTCCCCCCAAGTTGGGAACAGAAATCACAGTGCTGACTATGGGCAAACTTGTAAGGCAGAGCTAAAGCTAAGATTGATTTTTTAAGACAGGAACAAGGAAAAGCAGGTGTACTGTAATGCCAAGTTGTACAGCAATTCATGATTCACAAGGGCTCTTCTGCACAGAAACATTTAATAGGAAAGTGACGAATATCAACAAAACAGCATTTTTGAGGCATCAGTCTGGGGCAAGGTTGAGGCCAGAAAGTAGCAATGAGGAGACCACGCTAGAGGCAGGAGGAGAAATGAGAGCATTCTCCACTCAGCCAGCTCTGCCCCTTTTTGTTCTCCCCCTACTTTAGCCCCTGGGTTTATGCCCCTCCTCCAGTACAGAGGGGAGCAGAGCAGGACCTGAGCTGGTCTCCCCACAGGCTGCTGCAAGATGGCTGTTTAGCAGGTATGCATAAGACTTCCCAGAAGGTACCCTGCATGTGTTTTGGGGGTTGTTGAGTAGATATCCTGCTATTCATGGACTGGAAATCTGGATCCAAACAGGCTGTTTGCCCTTCCTGGCATCTTTGGCCAACTGTCCCCATCAGAGAGTAATATATTGGGCTGTTAAGGATCTTGTCAGAAACCTCGCATGGGTTTCCTAAGTTGTAAAGTGTCTGCCAGATGTTATTGTTGACATTAGAACTCTGCCTGCCTGCCAAAGCGGGGATCTGGGGAGCTGGATGCTCCATGTTCTACCAGCACTGCCTGGTAGAAATGCTTTCCTTGAAATGGGTTGGGGTCGAGGGTAAGAGTCCTAGGCTGTGTCTTGGGGTGGGGCAGGCAGACCTGCTGTTGATGATGGTGGAGGGATGCCCAGACTGCACCTGGTTCGTAAGTGGTTCTGGGATGCGGTGTATGAATCCTCAGTGGCTACTGCGCCCTTGGTGCTGGCTGTGCAAGGGAATCACGAACACAGAGATGTCATCGTAGGACACCTGCCCTTCCTGTGTAGGATTGTCGTCCTTCCCCTGTGTGCTGTGTATCAGCATTTGGGCCAGCTCCGAGAACCTGTGGGGACCGTCCTGCAGATGTACTTGGAGGCCAGAGCAAAGAGGCAAGGCCAGCCATCAGGGAGAACTTTACACGGGGCTGGACACTAAGGACCCAAGCAGTGCAGTCCAACCATAGGGCCAGACCGAGTCTGGGAGAGTCACAGGTTAGACCATGAGAATCAGGACCCAGAGATTTTTGAGACCCACAGTCACCTCTGGGAAGCCTGAGGCAGCCCTAGTCTTGGCCACCTGCTCTGAGCTGGGCTTATCTGCAGTATTGTCTTCTTGGCCATACTACGTAGTGTTACTGCTGGCACAAACCCAGGCCCAGGCAGATCACCAGCAGTAACCGTACCTGTGTGGGTCCTCTTGGTTGCCAGGGAGGAAGCTTCGCACCAGCCGTGCCACCTGCTCATTGGACAGGACGTCCCACAGCCCATCAGTTGCCATGACAACTAAGTCATCCTCCTGCGGCTCCAGCTGGTCCACATCCAGCACAGTCACCTGCAAGTTAAGCCTGAGGTTTCCTCAGCGCTCCCTTCCTGGCTTGCACCAGCCTCACTGCCTTCTTGGGCAGATAGAAGCTAGTGTAGGTTGTTGCCCCCTCACCTCACCTGTGGGACAGAGAGCAAGAAGGGCTTGAGCTGAATGTTTGTGTCCAGGACTCTAAGCTGATGGTCTCCTAGACCCCGGGAGACAGCCAGTGTTCCCAATAGCCGAGCCTGGAGACAAGGGAGGTATAAGGTGACAGCAAACAGCACCAGCAAAAGTACGAGTAAAGCACACAGAGGTGGACCATGGCCCATGGTCACCAGGGCTGAGGGAGAAACATTCTGTGACCTCAGAGCAGACCCCAGGACCCCAGCCACAGGCCCCAACAGAGAACAAAGGAACTCTCACCTCAATGGGGCAATTTGAGAGGGATTCTTGGAGGTAGCCATTCACTGACCTGCCTACCCTGTCCGTGGATCAGTGGGTATTTGAGATCTGACTTCTCCACGCACTTGTAGCTCCTACCAAGAACAGACCCAACATCAACCCAGGCCCTATTTCCCACCTTATCCCCCCAATACAGGGCCACCCTGCCCAGGTGGAAGGGGACTGCCCCAGGCCACAGAGCTGGGCCTGGACCCCAGGGCTCTTCCCATTGGATCCCCCAACCCCACCTTGCTCACCAGCCACTCATGTGGTGATCCCTGAACAAAACCTTCTGCCCCAAGTCATCCCCCTTCAGTCGCCGAGGGAACTCCAGTCGGGTGAACTCACCAGCCAGAAGCTCAGGGTAGACAAAGGCCTAGGGTAGGGAGGCCTTGCTCAGGTTAGGCTCCCTTTGGTAGCCCTGAACCCAGGAATTGGGGCTCCACAGCCTTCCTCTGCCAAGGGCACCTACCAGTTGCTGGATCCGCTGACGTTCAGTCTCTGGTGTGAACTCAGAGCTCAGGGGCCGCACCTCATTCCTCCGCACCAAAATGGCTCTGATGGGGTTTTGAAGGAGAGGGAGAGGTCTGTGGTGGAGCAGCCTCCATCCTCCCCCGTGGCCTCCTTCCTGCCAGCCCCTCCTCCAACCACCAGGGGTCAGCTCTGTCCATGCCAATCCCTTGCTCTAAATCCCCCATGACTGCCTAACCTAAGGCCTGCAGGGTAAAAGCTCAGTCTTTGGCCTGGCATTTGAGGTCCCTGCCCTCCCTGGCATCCACTGTCTGCCCTCCCACTTGACACATGCCAGGTATACAAACAACTCAGCCAATCTTGCCCATTTTTGTCTCTCCACTTCCAGCCCCGTTTCACTCTCCCCACTGCCTCTGCTGCCTGCCTGCACACCCGTCCTACCCTGCCCACCCTCCAGGGCTCACTCACCTGCTATCTCCAGCATTGGCCACATACAGCTTTCCCTGCAGGGACACGGCCACTAGGGCTGTACAGCCTCCTGCCTGGCCTGAGGCCTCCAGCTCCCGCCCAATCACCTCATCCTGGGGCAAACCGAGGCTGCTTTAGCTGCTGCTTGTCCTGCCACCATACCACTGTCCCCAGTCCCCATCCTACAGTCCACCTCCCCCCCAGCAGCATGCCTGAAGTCCCAGCCCAAAGTCTAGCTATGACTCCAGGATCCCTGTGGTCAGGAGATCTAGACACATGCCTTGGGAGGGTGAGAATTCCTATTCAAAACAGTGAGGAAGGGAAACCAAGGTCCAACAAGGTGTGCAACGAGATGATGCAAGTAAAATAGCACCTAGCACATGGTAGGCGCTGGATAAATGGGAGGAGTTATGATGACAGAGATGACCATTTGGTAACGAACAAACCAACCCAATCCTTCCTACCAATCTAAAGATCCTTTGCCCCACAACCCAGAGCCCCTCAGGTCCCTGGGCGTAAAACTTCCCCTCCTGCCCCAGCCAAAGGCCATACTCACACATTCCTGGAAGGCACTCTCCAGAGCTCCAATCACCAAGTCTTCAGCCCTAATGCCCTTTTCCTCCACAAACTGAGGGTCACTGGGGCAGACGCAGTGGCCACTGAGGTGCATGGGGGGCTGAGTGGCCACCATGCCCTCTACCACGGCCTCCAGCTGTCGGCGCAAGCAGGAGTGCAGGGTATTGGCAGCCAGGATAGCTGCAGCTGGACCGCCATGCCCATCAAACAGTGCCCAGTAATGACCTGTCAGGAACTGTAAAGGAAGGGCTTGGCATCAGGCTCTGCCTGGCTTCCCCAGTTGTCCCCTGGCCCAATGTGGGGCACTGGGGCAAGAACCTCAGCCTGCAGTCCTGACCCCAGACTGTAAGAGGGGCTCAGGCTCAGTTGCACTCACTTCCTCTGGGCACAAAGTCAGCCACTCTTGGTCCTCTTCAACCCCAAACTCATATCTCCGGATGCACAGCTTCCCACAGGCCGCCTGATCCTCATTGAACTCAGATTTCTCTGCATTGATGATCCTGAGGCCAGGAAGTGATCAGTGACCCTTCAGGGACGCACCTATGCCCCCGTGGGCACACAGAATAGAGCTGGAACAGAGAGGAGTCCCTCCCCCCGCCCCCCAGCACCAGCTCCCATGCTGTCGCTGAAACACATCTGGACAAATGCTGGAAATCTAACCGTTCAGTGATCTCAGGCCTAGTAAAATTCAGGGCTCAACCTCTCTGCAGCCTACCTGCTGACCTGGGCTGGGAGGTGAAGGGAAGGCTATCTGGGGAGATGTGGGGCTTCCTTGCCCATCCCCTGCCCCATCTCAGCCAGAATCCCTGTCCCATGCATCAAAGGGCATAACCCAGGGCGAGGTGGGATCTCCAAAGCCCAGAACGCTGGAACTCTACCCAGTGTCCCTACCTCTTTTAGAAGCCCCAGGGGTGCAGGATCTTCCCGACCTGCAGCGGGTTAAGGGAGATTGTCAAGGGTCCAGAAGATCCACTAGGTTGGGGAGGGGAGGGAGGATCCCTCACTCAGCTTGGCTTGTTTTCTCGGTCAGCACCGGACCCCAGGCGGGATCACAAGGGTGGGGGTCGCGGCGGCGAGACAAGAATAGCCCAGAGAGGGGTGTATCGGCGGGGGCCTCTCGGGGCTGGACACTCACTCGGCGTAGCCTGCGTTCAGGGCAGCGCGG